TCAATAAATTCAGTTATCATATTTTACACTTCTTATGAAGTGGGAAGTACAAAAATTGTGCAGAAAATATCATGAAAATTACGCATACATAGCACCAATAACTTATAGTTATTGTGCTATCGAATCATACTGCAGGAATACATTTAACAATACTTTGTTAGTGGTATGAGGGACAAAAACAGACACGCTAGATAAGAATCCCATAAAGTTGTCTTACTACAATGCCACATCTCATTCGTCAATTTTTCCTCCGCTTGGAACGCAGTAGGTGGGAAAGGTTGTCAGTGTTAGAATTTATGAGGTCTTCACTTTCTGAAAATGTTCCGATGCGTTCTTGGCTTCTTACATTTGTGCTACTCCCACCCGCAATGACTGCCTGCGATGAACTTCTATAAAAGGCTTTGTTAACGAAGAATATTATTGCCACAGTTTGCCGCAGTCAATTCGTAAGAAACACAGAATATCAGAGTACATAGGTGAGAAACACCGCAGGAGAAAATATTGTACGTATAACTACAACTCAAATGCATTGGGAACCATGGGACCGTAGTCACTGGTAACTTCCCAAAAAGCTAACCTGTCTCAAATGAGCGTACAACGAAAAAAGCCTTGTGTCTGAATAAAAAACGGTGAAACAACGTTAGAACAGTCAAATGTCACATTTACATTCACTACATTTGCTTGCAAACCACGCATAACACAACCTAACAAAACCGCAAATGATAGCACCTACCTACAGCAAATCAAAAATTAAACTGACCGCTACTGTTCTGGCCATAGAAGGATGACAAAACAAGAATCGAGGTCGATGTAAAACGCGATGGCGTTTATCCTCACTCACGCCGGTGTGGAAGCGATCGGAAACCACTTTTATCTCTAGTACAGCTTCATTGATCTGCTAATGTCTGGTCTCACGTTGAGAGAGATCCACAGATTATATCTCCAATCGTCGTAAACCATAGCTCCGAAGAAAATAATGCTTCGGATCCCTGTGTTGTCGTGTGTTGCTATACCTGAGTTTTGGATACATTACTTGCTGAATCCATAGCCTGACTCACCTAACACGTTTGCTAGTTTTCTCTTGGCACCAACTCAAGTAGAGAAGAGGGAATTTAATCCTTATAGTTTTCAAATGATGTGTCATTAACGACATTAACCACCACGCACTATCGAGTTCCTGTTCCATGGAAACCCAGTTATCGTAGTCTAATCAGGTCATCACAGATGAACAAATTGACCGTTGAAGGAGAAATGGCTGAGACATAGCTGAACGGACTAACTTCTTTGTTACCTATAACTTTCACAGTGTCACGTCTTGTTCCTTTTGCACTCTAGGCATATATACTTCCCCCAACTACCGCTTATTAGTCAGTGCGTTTTTATCCAGCCTTTGTAGGTGCACTATTCCATGGGAACTTCGTTGTGCGGACATTTCACCACGCCGCAGTATGTGTATTGAGTGGGACTTATCAGTTTTCGAACAGGACCGCAAGAGCGGGCAATTCATAAGTGAGTTTAGACAGTCTAGAATTGTTCTTAGACGGATTTGTGAGATAGTGACAAGTAAGCAGCACATAAAAAATGCACTGAGATGTTTCCGTTCGTCTGGGATGTCAAGTTCTGGGTAGATTAGATATGGCAAAGTTTTCTTCAGGCATTAAATGACCGCAAACTTCTGTGGAAGGGGATTTGACTACATCGGCAAATGGTGATGTTGATAGCCTTGAAAGACCTGCATCAAACTTATAAACCTCATGAAGTTATTATAGAGGACATTAACTGTTGTACAATCATAAAATCTGCTGAGAGCTACTATGAATGAAGTATTTCACTGACTCGATACAGAGTCTATTTTATTTTTCACATTCCTAATTGTGATCGACTCAAATATAGCTCTTACCATGTGGCGTAACCTTGTAAATTGATTGTTCAAGTTAGTTATAGGCGAAATATGAGTGATCACTGAAAACGGATGGATATGCTTCGGGATAATGGTGGAATTACAAGAGAAGTAAGCTAGTCATAGTGTCTACACTTACCAGAAAATTTGGAAACTCAGAATCCTGAGAATTCACCGAAATTTACCACAAGGTAATATCGTTCATTTTTAGTAGACTGGCGAGGACTGATGAGCTTTGTCGAGCTCCTGTGCAAGAAGAACCCCTTTTCATTCACATATGAATGAGAAGGCGTCTGCCAACTCACTCCTTTACCTCGCTAAGCCAGTGATAAGACTGGTAAAGAGGGAAGGTTGGGCATGGGGCCAGCAATCCCATCCCATATAAATAAATACCACTGCTACTGAAACTTCAAGCCTCTAGCTTGAAGCCCTGTGTTCCAGATACCAAAGCTTACCTCAGGTAAAGTGGCATTTCTTGCTATGGTTCTTGAAATGTGGACTGGCCAGTCGTATCTGAGCTACGCATATGAGACCAAAATGCGGCTATTCGTTTAATCGCATCTGGCTAACAAGGTGAGTCCGGGAGATTCATCCTATATTTGTCAGTAGATTCTGTGTCTGGACAGCATAAAGTACTACGAAAAAATTTTCGCCGCTCAGCTGGAATCCATTAGAGATAATCGTCTAAGTCCTCTGTGGTTGAATGGATATATGATGATTAGGAAAGATCACAATACTCATGGGAGTATTTACTTTGTAGTACAAGTTGCATTGATCTACATTCCGACTGAAGCTGAGAAACAATTGAAGTCACTTAATCATATATTATCCCTCAAGGTTTGGCTGGTAATGGCTCAGCATCCTTGATGAAATCCACTGTCACCATAACAAGACGCTGTACAGCATCTCATACAAGCACTGTCAACGATCTAAAATGGTTTTTATATAGCTTTCTACGTGTTTATCAATTTACTCGTACTGAACAACCATGCTGTGACAAATGGCGGGCTATGGGTGACTTGAGTGCAGTAAAACAAATCTGCTTGACAATGACCAATATTAATCTGCATTCAGTTGAATTCACATCTGGTATTACTTGCAATAAAAATGATGTCAAAATCATAAAATAAACCACTCATTTTAAATTAATACCCAATTTGAACATAAAACAAGATACGATGCCGCACACAACAAAGTTATATGGAGGAATTGACTTAATGCTTTATTTTTTTCCCAAATATTTGTAATTTATCCGACACATACTTGGGTTTTTTTTGTTAATGCGAAGACAATATTTCTATATTTCTTTATGTGCTCCATTGAACGACTAACTATCAGAATGTGCTCACTAACTGATGTCAGAGAGGACAGCAACCATGTAATTTCACTATAAATCAAATTCATGTAATTCAAATAATACTTATCCATGCCTGTACAACTGGTGGGCCCTACATTGATAGGAAATATATATTATATATTATATTACGAACTGCACACCAGCTGACTGCAGTTTGAGTGAACTAATGTAGAAATCTTATCAGGTGTCCGCCGTGCTGTTAAGAGCAAAACACTCAGACCTAGTCATATTAGGAGGCGATTTTAATAAGTAACTAGGGAAGCCTACCTAAACGGGAAAGAATTTCGGGGGTGCCTATATGACCCTCTGCCGAAGAACCAACAGCGGTGATATCTTAGCTCAAATGTATTCACATCATGGGCATATTCCTGGTTATCACTGATTTCGGACATGCCGGAGGACACTTTCGCACACTGTGATCAGCAACATCAAGTCAAAGGGGTCCACATAATAATATGACTATTCCTGTTACTTGGATAATTAGCTATAAGTTATCAGGTCCAGGTTGGATGCACCTGCTAGAATATCTGCATGGACTTGGATTAATTTTCAGAGGCTACTTGCAGCTAGAAGCACAGTTTCAGGAGGAGTATGAGACCCGTGTCCATGATGGAATTAACCAGAAGTGCATGGGTTCGACGTAAATGCTCAATTTGCGACGTCTGAGATGAACTTGTGTTTGTCGTACGAACACTAGGGAGGAATACTAATGATCGCAGATTAATATTAGCAAATATCAATGTATTTCCTTAGATTCGTCCGCACTGTTCAGGGGATAAAGATTGTTTCTGATAGATTCCAGACGTCATGAGTGCAATTCACTTAGAAGTGAACTTTTTATCTGAAATGGATTTATACTCTACCACAGTGCTCAAGTTCTATCCTTATATCAATAGTGTCGAAATTTTCACGAGCCTTGGTGAGTGACGAGGGAGCAACAGCAAGTGATAGTCAGACTAACTTTAGATTTACTGAAGGCAAGCGTTTCGAAAGAAGCTACTATAACTGGAACGGCTGCTAACAGGACCTTAACGTGATGGGCTAGACTTTAGGAAAGTTGGTAACATTTTGATAGGCATTAAGATGCTGAGGGTGTTGACTTTCACGGGTAGTACGACAACCAACAAGATATAATACCCACAACTTCTATAGCATTCTTTCTGCGTAGAGCGAAGGCAAAGCAAAACGCCAGAACTGATTGGCCAAATTACGAAGTATATTTCGGAACCATATTGGAGTGCGAGAGGATTGCTCAACTAGCTAGGGATGGTGCAAAAAGGAACGAACGTAACACGGTGACGTGTCATGTGGAGTGGATGATTGATTGTAAGCCTTTAGGTAAACGGGTCGACTTAAACAGTGAGAGTCAGCATCCAATCTTCATTGATGAATGCTGAGGCTAATAATTCTGCGGAACTACCTATCGTTACGGGCATTTTACACTTATTTTGCATGAGGCAAGTCAAAAATTTTGCTCAAGAAATTTTACTGTCAGTCTGATGCACTTTATGCATATAAATTTATTTAGAGGACTTCATATCTTGTCATTTGTGGACTCATGTGACGATCAAACCTAGTTCTTCAAGTGCCAAGGTGATCCAGAATGTACATACATCACTAGCTTCGACATGTTTGCGAGGTCACTGCCAGTCCACACTGTCATATTGGGTTTTTCTCATAACCTCATTATCCCGACACCATTGAGATACATGATGACAATGACTTTGCAACTCTATCTGTCACCTTGCCTATGAAGCTAATTTGTTTGTCTGTTCAAGGTCACTGAGTTGGCTTTGTTGTTAGGTTCGGCATATTTCAGACAAATCAGGGAAGGAATGACGTAGACTACAAGCATTCTGTGGTTGTCCAAAAACAATTCTGGAACTAGACTAAACTAACTTGCTAAGTACTCATTACAAATTCTGCGGTACATGTCGAGACACAGAAACATACGAGCTTTGTGTGATGACGGTAAGTGTAGTTCGATTTCCTATGAAACTGATTAGACGTCGACACATACGATGAAGTGCTGGCCAGTTCAGTAGATGATGATTACACAGTATCTCCGAATACATCGGAAAGATATATTTATAATCCGAATCGTGGATTCAAACAAGACATACCGATATTCCCAGTGACAAATATCGAGCCGCTTAGTTTTACAGCAGAGGACTTCCCTGCCAATGAAGCTGGAAAAATCTTACCAGGTTAGTCATTATTTACCAATATCTACCACTAACGTTGGTACTGAAGATTCTCCCGGTGACGTATCTGGACGAATTTCATCTCAACAAACATTTGACTTCTCAAATCACAACAATGTGGAGAGTAAAAATCTGAAGAACAGTAAACAGACTGTCGACGAAGTGTTTGGCAACAGCGATCTTTTTGATTCTAGTAAGTCGCAACTTTTTGTTTTCCTATTCCACCCTTAGGTATTTTTAAACCTGCGAAAATGGCTGTGCAGAATGAGTTAATGAATAGTCTCAGTTTTGTTAATAAAAGCAAATCAGAGGAACTGGATTTTGATCTACTTGATTTACTTACTTCCAAATCTTCTACTAAATTACAACCGTCTCTCCAGGAGCCTGCAAAATGCAAACGTAATGATCACGACACTAGCATGACTCCTGGCTACAAATCAAACTGTATTCATCTGTTGTCACAAACAACCAGTCTTTTTGCTACCAGTTCTAGTATTCCAAAGTCCTCTGACAAAATGGTACATGGACTCCCAGTAGTAGAATCGAACACAAATGAATCTTTTGCTGGATGCAAAACCCCTAGTTTTCTTGGTTTAGTAATGCCAAAATATAAAGCAGAGAAATCTAATGCGTTTGATGATATGTTATCGAGGTTTTCGTATGTACTGGTTCGAACACGTTCGCCTATATACGGCTGTCTCTTCCCAACAAACTCTGTTTCGGGGTTTACTTTTGATATTCCAGAACCTAAAACTTTCGATCGTCAGTGCTCAAAGTCAACAAATTTTAAAGTCGATAGACCCTGCATCTCGAGTAAAACTGCTCATGGTATGCTACAGTGTGAAGTTCGTATTTTTGAGTGTCGATTGAGGCAGAAGTCAAATTTTTGTATAAGTGAACTAATGCTAGAAATGTCACTCAAGCGAACCATTCGTATGCAACAGTTCTGCCTGCATATATGTGTAAATGACTGTCATATCTTCATCCCTAATAGACCAATCGATATGCGGGTTTCATTGTATTTACACTAAGAAATGGTGATTATTGTGAAAGTTAATAATTTGTTAGAGTTACCAAGGCGGAGTTCTGCTTCTGGGGAAGTATGTGCAATGAAAATAGTGCTTTCTTTTCACCACCAATACGCCATGTGGGATAAACTCCGCTGGTTTCAGTCTCAACAAAAATTCTGTTCCGAAGTTTGTACTGTACATCGTTTTTGGGTGCGCATTATTGAAATTAATAAATATATATAGCATTAAGTGTATTACCTCAAGCTGCCAATTTGTGTGCTCTTTGGATGTTTTTGCCATTAACGTTTCCTCTAGGTTTCTTACTTTGAACTCATTTCCTATGATTTAAACCAAGGGAACATTACTGAGATATCCTTACTTACTGACTGGCCGATTTCAGCGTAGTGCTTTGTACCGATGTACAGCAGTTCGAGGTGCCACACACAAAGCAAGAGTGGAGAGTAAAAAGAGATTCAAAACAGAGATAATAAACAGAAATATGAGGTAAAAAGAATAGTAACATGGAAAAACAACAGGGTCTTATTGCATGTTATAAATCACAAGGAGTGGATGCATCCGCACCATCATGCAGAATGATTTTGAGCCAAATCACCGATTGTCTCCAGCCATTGGTTTTCACCATACAAACGACCCCAACCGCTAAGGAAGTGTAAAACCCCGACATGACTGGCCTAAACTAACTGTTGTGGATTTCACAGACTGATGGGGCCATCTTTTGATTTGACCACCACTGGCTCTTTCCCAACCTGATCCATCCCATGTCAGCTAACATTGCTCGTCGGTCGAGAAAGGCGATGGTTAGGCATGCGTAACACATGTCATAACCATCTCGATCAATGTAGCTTCACACCCTCATCGAATTGATTTCCCCTTCTTACCTAACCTCAATTTTGCTCACATTATACCACTTAACAGGGGGCACAGGACGCAGACACCTATGATCAGAGACAACTAGCCGGGCTTTTTATGTCTTCCACTTTCAATGGCCATGTCTCGCTCACAGCCATAAAGAAGGATGGCGCGGACTGCAGAGCAGTAAACGCGCCCTTTGGTCGATAGCCAGGCGGATATCAGGTCTACTCCGCAAATGGCGTGAGTTGATGGGAATATGCGAAACGAGCCTTCTGTATCCATGCTGAGATTTCGTCAGCGATCAACCTGTTGGGGCTGATGCAACTTCCCAAATAAGTGAAGTGGTCAACACGCTCTTTTTAGCAATGTAATCACGTGCATAAATAATCAAAAGCAGTATAAGTCCTCCGTCTTTCTCTGAAACCCAGCTAAAAAGGTGTGAGATATTACTGATGCAAGCTTGAATAATTTGCCTCTTGTAGTTCGCCTGCACATCCGTGGTTCTACATGGTAATTAAACATCTAGTTGTGATACAGTCATGACAAATGTACCTGTTTTATTTACCGACTTACAAGGGCTATCTATATTACAGATAGACTATTGGTGTACCAGATGAATGAAGAATAAAGTAAGCAGTAGAGTCTCACAGTCATTCGAGGCATATAATGTTCTTTCTTAAGTCATTGAAGTGTTTGAATTAGACCACTCTGAAAAGTGAAGACTCCTCCCTTATTTTGTAAAACGTATTTTGTTTGCGAACTGGGCATTATTCTGTGAATCGAATTTTATTTTACAAACAGGTCTGTTTTACTCCAAAGCATTCGATACTCAGTAATATTACCGATGGTAAATGTAGTTCAAACTATTGATGCTCCATATTTGTCGTGTTCGCGTTGATGAATTGAGTAATTTGCATTCACAGAAGACTCGGGTACATAGTCTTACTGATCATTCCTAGATGACGTTGACTGTATGTGAATCTATGTACCATCACTGATAATATTGTATGCATAATTCCCTTGTAGGTTCTTGTGTTACACAAGTACGTCCAACAGATGAAGACAAATCATTGGATACGTTAAATTTATCACTATCACAGAAACTAACAATTTGTCAATCTGACGGTCGTCCTAATGTTTTGCGCACTCCGGTTAGTAATGCTCCAGCAACTCCCAGTAAACCGATCGATCGTCATTCACTAGTAAGTGAATATGCAAAACTTCACAAAGGATCAGGAGATAAACAAATAATCAATCTTATAGTTATGGGTAAGTATATAAATATTTGTGTTGGATAATACTGTAGTGACTCTAGGCGGCAATTGGTCACCGTTATCTCTGTGGAGTTCTGCATTTATTTAGAATGTTGCAACAGCCCTAATGGACTAATTGCCGGCGAAATCTTTGCATGAATGCACCAGGCTTATTTGGCGATTTCCAAAGTATGTCGTTTATAGCGAAAACCTAGTATTCAGTTGCCCATCAGAGGATGTATGTATTTGAGCTGCTGTTTCGTCCATCCTACTCCGCGACGTTATTTAAGTCAGGCTGTTTCCCTGGAATTATTGTGGCTTCGTTTGATCGTTCATTTACAATGACCATTTCTTGTGGAGTTTCTCTCCAGTTAGTACTGGTTTCTGAAACGTATGTCTGATACAAATTAAAACATGAAGTAACCATCCCACTATTTGGGTAGTGGTAACTAGATGCTTCGCCTTTTAATGAGTTCCCTACGTCTCAATGCAGCATTAATCATATGTTATCAAGCAGTAGCTGTCATCATATTCTAACAGTTTACGCACGAGTACGTGTATAAAAAAGCAAATATAAACTTTGCTTAGTTTGTTAATTAATGACGAACGACATGATCCACATCAACATCTTCTACAATATGACAGTTTTTAAATGTATAACTTAAGTTTCAGAACGGTCTTCGTTCAAAACCATCAACCCAAAGTCGAGATTTTCCGGTCCCGATGTGCCGTTAACTGATGAAATGAGCTGTTGACATAGTGAGCATTTAAAAGCCATCCATGTTAGATTATTCATTTCGGTTTATTAATAATAAAAGAGCGCCGGTACATTCAGCTACTAAATGTCAGTAAGTTCATCATTAATTTATACAGTCAGCTTCGTATGAACTCTAGTCCATAAGAATATGGCTACGAAAATCTGCAGCATAACTGCTTAGGTCATTCGGTAAATGAATGTACACACCTAACTAATAAGAGCATGATTGGCAATGTCAAATGCCATTTCAAACATGGTGATTCCGATAGTGGTATGCATTCTTTTGATCTTACGAATGAAAATGGTTGACATAGTCGACATGTTTTTCTTTTCAAACTGTTGACCAATTATATGGAAGTTGACTTTTGAGTAAGTTCGCCTTGTTGAATCTCAAAGTTATTGCTAGCAGATTGATTACTGAGGGAGACGCTGGAGTTCGTAACCAGGCCGATGAAAACGGATATTACTGGACTGACCAGTTGATAAAAGAGGGCGGGAATTGGGTACTCCAGAAGTCCACACTTCGATTAAGCATTCATAAAAGAGGAAAACAAGAATATAGTAGTACTATAAGGGAAATATGTGCGGTTGAGAAGACGTGGTTTAACAGTAGTTCAGTGAATCCTTACAAATGGAAAATTGTACATAACATCCACCCTTTTTTCCTGAATTTTCGATTTTTACTACTTTGCAACTATGTTGCTTTCATATAACAATCAAGTATTCTGAAAGTGTATTCATTTTGTCCACGTGAAACAATTTAATCTAATGTTTGACTTGTTGCAAAGAAGAGGTCAATCAGTATGTAAATGACAGATGTTAGTGTTTGTGGGAGAACTATTCACCATTCCTCAAACCACAGGTCTATAAGTGTAACTGGATTCTGGGAAGAATAATCTCTGAAGTCGTCATGGTTTGCCTGGCAAACAACTGTTTGTTATAAAACGCACCGTATGCTTTTCCAAAACAACCTGTACACTCTCAGATAAGTCTTCTGACGACAAAAGAAAGCTAGTGCAACATGTTGCATGTATCAGGACAAATCGCTTCACTTACCATGTTATTCTAATTTATTCTCTATAATCATAACAGAATCTTTCGAATAGTGAAGGTATGATCGATACACCGTCTTCCTGGTCTAAAGCCTGTCTGGTTCTCTCGTATTTGTTTCTCCCGAACACCACTTAGTCTACGCATAATTATTCAGCCTAGCACTTTCGATATCATACAGATGAAGCTAATCCCCCTGTGATTATCACAGGAAGACATCTCTTCCTTCTTGTATATCGGGATAACCAATGAATTACACAAGCCCGACGGGACCTCAGATGCTGTCTGATACCTTAGTTAACGGAGACAGTAGACTTTCCACCGTCCTTAAATACCTCTGGAGTCATTCCATCAGGTTCCTCTGCTTTGCCTCGTTTTAGATTAGAGACAGCTTCTGTAACCTCAATTATGGACGGAAGTATTGGGAGATATTTTTAGATGCTGGGTAAGTTGAGAGTGGCTGAAGGCCAGTTAAATAGCTTCACGTTCCAGTTGTCTATCTTAAGAGCTAATTATGACGCCATTTTTCTCGAAAATCGTTTCACTCATCATTCGCTTTTTCCCACCTGTTCCCCTGATAAGTTTAAATAGTTTTCTGGTGTTACCTATCGCCGATGCCTTTTCCATCACATAACAGGTCATGTGGATGCCGGAAAAAGCACGCTTATGGGAAATCTTCTCTATCTGCTAGGACATGTTTCTGGTAAACAGTTGGCTAAATATCAATGGGATGCACAAAAGATGGGGAAAGCATCATTTGCTTATGCATGGATTCTGGATCAAACTTCAGAAGAAAGAAGTCGTGGTGTCACAATGGATATCGCCCAAACTTCATTTGAAACGAAATCCAAACGGGTTAGTCCATAAGTAACATATACGCATGTCTTTTAAATATTGTCTTATTGTACGCGCGTAAATGTACAGACGTTTCTCAACCCCCTGATTACTTAGTCCTCACGTATTGAGTTGAGGTGCCTCAACGGCTGTTACCCCAATTCATCTATTATTTAAACCATAGTGCCTTATCATGGGCTGAACACATTTAAGCTTTTCGAACCCATCCCACAGGGCTAGGTAATAATGAACGGTGTAGGTGCTGCAGTCAAATTCAAAGCACATGTCCAGGCCACAGCAACAGGTGTCTCAAAATGACATTACCCCTTAAAAAAGATTTGTTTGCTATCCAAGGACTTTCGGCCGAATTCCAGAATTATCCTTACTCCGTCGCAACTTAGGAGTTGATTCGTTATTGAGGGAGAATCGTTGACTGTGTACGCGTGAAGTAGTCCTTTTGGACGAAGATGCTGCTAAAATGCAGGGTCTTCTGAACACCTCGTGCAGAAATGTGTCTCGCATTTGACTCAGCCATATCAAATGAAAGGTGATTGTGCACTACTGGTTTGCCCTGACTCCTAGTTTGAAGAATGCGTAGGGATTGTTTGTGCGGGTTAACCAGTACATTATTTTGTGATCTTGCATCAGACCTAGTTGGCTGATCGCTGACGAAATTTCATCACAGGTAAAATAGGCTCGCTGTGCATGTGTCACATCTAGCGTAGATATGATATCCGGCCATCGACATGACAAACCATCGCCTCCCTCGTGGAGCAGTGTTAGCCAAAATAGGATTAGGTTGGAGAAGAGTTAGGCGTGGTTGAAGGGAAACCTGGCTTGAATCAATGAAGTCTCGGACTGTTGGTTTGGGCCAGGTGAGAAGGTTCAGGCTACGGGGCTGCGATTCTCAAGACACAAAGAACCAATAGTTGAAGACTGTTGGTGATATGGCTCGAAATCATTCTCAATGATGCGGATGCATTCACTCTTCATGAACTCCTGGATCTATTAGATTCTCATTATTTCCTGTGTACTTATTCTGTCTCTCGCAGAATTCTGCTTACTATAGTTCCTTTGAATTTTTAGTTGTTTTTGCTACCTTTGTATGCTACATGGAGTGTGGTAAGTTGGACTATTGCACTTTTGTGCAAAGTTCTTCATTGAAGACTCAGTTAGTCAGACTTCAGCCACTTGGAACAGATTTTCATGTACTAGATTAATGAGCTACACTTACTGCGTGAAGGGTAATTATATCTGTTTTCCAAACTGATTTAAGTGAATAGGAATTGACATCCGAAACCCATGGTTGAAATTCTAGTGTTTATATCTGTGAGCATAACTTTCACATTTTCCCTTTTCAGTATCATTAAAAGATTTATATCATTTCGGGGAGAAGTAGATAAAGGTAGAAGGAGACAGACACTCACTACATTTATTTTATATCAGGTGTTGATTTCTTTGTTGATATTTGAAAATCTTGTTTTATTCCTGCGTTATACTATCGTGTGTGAAGAATATTCAATAGCAAAATAGTTGATATTTCTTGGTGTATTTCGTACATAACCTCCCTAATAAGATGTTTGTCGTACTGTGAACACTGATTCTAACTCTTTGGTCAGTGAATCGTTTCTTATAACCTTCTTCATCAACATATATAATCCTTCTGTGATGAATGTCACTTGGAAATCTGATATATCATCACTAGGTTACTTTAGAATCAAAGTTCGCAGTTGAACTGCCACACATCACATACACTTCGATAATGATTAGCCAGATATCTTTACTGCTCCTAAGTGGAGCTTAGTTTGCAAAACGAAACTCTTGTGTCCAACCTGAGATTTCATCAGTAACGAGGGCATTTAGTATGATGCAACTTCTTAATGAAATCAAGCCATAGAAATATTCAATCATTGTACTCTCTATCCTCAAACTAGGAATCATTGTAGGCCGGTCATGCAGCATCATACATTTGAGAGATGTTAGCTGCATGCAAAACATACATTTTTCCTCAGGATTTTCAAAAGACTCCGTTTTGTCGGCGTTTTCGCATAAAAGGACTATATACTCTGATTTTCGTGGTAGCAGGTCACTTTGTAAGGTGGTTAGGTCACTTTGATTGGTAAACTTGTAGTGACAATGAGGATTTTCGGTGAACATGACTAGTTGTTATAAACTTAGATATTCTAAGGCACACCAGATAAAATTATTCATCAGTTCAGACACGTTTCCTTCCTTCATTTTCAGAAGTCTTTTATTGTTTTCTGTCTTCAGTTTTTCATTTGTGCTCACCTTTATCCATTTGCAATTCTGTCTCGTTTCCTCTTGTTCATATGTGTGTTAGGGTGATACGGCCCAGCAGTTGTAGATGGAATCACCCTTAGGAGTAGTTTGGTGTGCTTCCTAACTCATGTAATGCAATTTATATTGGCAACGAGGTTCGTGTCTGATTGGTACTTGTTTTTACTTACCAAGGTTGCTTTGATGGATGCTCCGGGGCATAAAGACTTCGTTCCACAAGTAATCGGAGGTGCTACACAAGCTGATGCTGCTCTGCTAGTAATCAATGCTACTCGAGGTGAATTCGAAACTGGTATCGGTACTGGTGGGCAGACAAGGGAACATGCTAGATTAGCTCGTTTGCTTGGGGTGTCTCGTTTAATTGTCGCAGTGAACAAAATGGACACAGTAGACTGGTGTCAGTCACGATATGATGAAATTCAGTCACAAGTATCCGGATTTTTAAAATCGATGAATTTTTCTGGAATGGTATTTTGTCCCGTATCAGGACTAATCGGAGCAAATTTAGTACCACAAGATACGACTAGTTGTAAAAATGCATCTGAGTCCAGTTCAAAACTTTTTCAATGGTATTCAGGACCCTGCTTATTAGATCTTATTGGTAAGTGAAGCCAATGAGTTTGTCTATTTTTTCTTTTTCCCACTAATTAATGCAACTCACCCAAAACTAAAACATCAGTAAAAAAAGAAGCTATAGGCTATACTTGATTTCAGGAGGCCACTGATACTGGATTACAACTAGCAACTGGTTGCGTGTATAATGTATTTGCAAATTTATATGGCGAAGGTAATTTCAGTGTGTACATCTGCATGGATTGACTGAAAAACAGTTAAAAGCTTGTTATATATATATATATATATATATATATATATTGCTGATGTGGAAACAGTCTGCGAATAAACATGCTTAGGAATGAGTGTATGATGACTTCTAGAATGCAGGATACTCCAATCCTAGTCTAGGTGACAACTGTCTAATTGGCTTCTGTTTTATGCACTCGTTATCTGTAGAAGGAGGATAAAGAGCAGTTCGATGGCGGTGGATAACAAAACCATTTGGCCATTCAGTCCATGGGGATGACATTATTAGAAGACGTGGACTTAGCTGCTATCTTACAACTTTTTTAATCTTGTATCACTGGTGATAGACTCTTCATAACATGACTCAAAGCTGTTGTCCTTGTCACCTCCTGAAAGTTTCCACTGGTTGTTATGATGCTGTTCTGTATGTCTCAATCTCGTTCTTCTGTTTTAGTATGTTCCCCTACATTTTGCTTTTTGAAACTGTAGGAACTGGAGCTGATGTTCTGAGCGAATTTCTGCGTCTATTGCACACCACTGAGTCTTGTTATTTTCACTTAATATTTCTTTTAACATATTAGCTGACATCATTTTTGAATTTTAGTTTAAGTATTTTATTATAGCACTTACTGTTTCTTGTTAAACTATAAACGCTTTTCATGCATAGATTCAATCCCATCACCTGAAAGAACTGTTGATGGACCATTTCGTTTTGTTGTCAGTGATATATTCAAACCGGCTGGCTCAAGCATACCGGCTGTTGCTGGTCGTGTTGTTTCAGGTGCTGTTTCCGCTGGTGTAAATCTACCCACAAGTAGAGTAATCTGTCTCCCCAGTGATGTGCGTGCTTGTGTTAAGTCGATTAGATCTTTGTGTAATTCACGTTCAGGTCCAACGGATACTGCTGAAGGTTAGTTTGAAGTGATTTGTAATTTTTTTCCACAGATTTTCGCTATATTTTTTCAATAAGCTTTGTACTGTTGACCTCAAGCACCTAAGTTTTATGATTTTGCTTAAATTTATTTGTTTGGTTATGTATCGCATGACTTGTAAGTCCACAGTGATCACGGACTGAGAGAGAACGCACATTGAACAACAGACATATGTTCACAAGTTTGTCTTCTATTACATAATGAAAATAATATAGCAATAACGATGATGTGACAGTCGGTGTGATTTTAAGAAAACAGAGCCAATTAACAGTATCACCTAACTCTTTTGGAAGGAAATCAGCCGGGGTCAACCTCCAAGTGCACAGTGTTTCCTGCGTATATCTGACCGAAATTAAGGGGGTGGATCATTGTTGTCAGCAGCTCTCATGGCTTCTCCCGGGTGCATTCCAAATGTATCTGGTGGGAAACTGCTGGTTGTCATTTTATCAGGAGGCATACGCCGTTGTAGTTGGTTCTTCTATTGTGTTCACATCTCTATTCCCACTGTGACATCACACATGACATTCCCAAGTTTATCATTAATCATTCCTACTATTCATTTACTGTGTTCTGTTCTGTTCTGAAGTCTCTAGTAAATGCAGGTGTTCCAACTTCAAAACATTTTAGAACGATTGCCAACTTAACTGAAGGTGCTAGCGTAGGTATCTGTACCGTTATGAGTTGTTGGTGAGTTGCCTTGTAAATGTTGATCTCCAGTGCACGATATCTAACACAGATTTCCTGAAGTCATGTGTTGATTTCAAGTTTGCCACCTACAATGTTCGCACACTGATGGAGGTCGGAAAACAGGTAGGTCTCGCCAAAACACTAGGAGACCTCACTATCAAGATCCCAGTGAAATACTTCAAATATCTTCTCCATCTGGAAGTTCAAATAAGGTGTAACACCTGTGCTTATCCGGAGACCCTGCGGCGTCAGCATCCGGCATAGTTGGTGTCAGTGTCACCCTAAGCGCTACAGGCAGAGCTGCATTAATCCCCATTAACAGTCGTTTATGTGCTGTGAGGCTGGCAGGTTAAGAGAGAATGGGAAGTAGTCGGCCAGAGAGACAGTACTGTCCCTACCTATGAACCGACAGATTTCAGCCCGTACGCAATTAAGGATGAGTTTTACTGTCAACTGATCGGGCTTATGAAGCAGGCGCGGCAGAGAGGTAGAGCCCCAAATCTGAAATTTTGAGATATGGATGAAGTGCTTCGGATACCAACATACGAAACCCGACTGTGCTTATTCAGTTAAACCCGGTTAACCAACATGAGGAATTTGCAAAATACACACACACACACCCAGATGAGCCAGAAAATCCTTCAGCTGGTTCGCGTTGACTTGGTGGTGTGGGAGCGGCATCAATTGCTACGGAAGAAAAACCGCCACTCAACTGAGTTCCAACCGACAGTCGAATGTACACTGTCCGCCTGAAAGCATCTGTGAGAAAAGGGAAAGACTGTGGCATCCGTCAATGACTTTTCATAATCTCCACAGCAGTTCCGACGAAGCAGAGGACGAGTTATATCAGAAGCCGTCTAGTTTACTGGTAAAAGTTGGCGCTCAGATGTAGCCATTTCCACAGGTGACTTCAATTCACAATGAGGGAAGTTGTGACAGCCAGGAAAGTATCATTTGTGGCAGCTATGTACTCCCTACAGTGGTGATCCCCCTTTGCAGTTCTCTTCAGTAATATCATCTGTTCCTCGTTAGCCATGAATTAGCAACAAGTAACTCTCGAAACGAACCAATCAAAAAGCTATTACTCAACAAATATGCCGAAGAAGTTGGAGGTGGACCGGACACAAACTGAGGAGACCGTTGAGTGACACCACACGCCAGACCTTCGAGTGGTACCCGAATAGGAAACGGCCAGTCAGGCGCCCGAGGGTGACTTGGGGGAGATCGTGTGAGAAGGAGATGAGACCTTATGGGCAGTCGTGGAGTCAGTTAAAGGGCACCGCAGAGGACAAGCTAAGATGGAAATGTACTATTCAAACCCGACATTCAAGGGAATAACATAATAATATCAGGTGCAAACAGTTTTCTTACCCCAGCCTATTTACGATGATGTTTGTAATCACCACCAACTGCTACCTTGTCGTGGTGGTCAGGCTTGAATACCGCAGTGACCCAGCAAGGTAAACTGGCTGGGACTCATGTCCCTGCAGGTCCTACCATGTCAGGAAGGTTGTTTGGATAGCGGTTGGACTAAAAGCAGTTATCATGGGGTACATGGGCTCCAGAATCCAATCGGATCAAATGGCGTACGAACCCATATTGGTCACCGGCGACCATGGGAATGCAGCTCCTGACGCTGCTCCACTGCCTTGCGGATTAGACTCCAAGTCAAAGGCTCGGGGAATGGTCCCTTAAAAAAAACCACCTGTTTCGGTCTGGGCGCCCGGGCAGTATCTCAGCCCTCACACAATAAATGAAGCAAAAAACTATCAGTGAAACTTATCGCGCACTCGTAACAATGCATCCAAGCAATAATGATGTCTCAAGTAACTTATGTGTTCCCAACTTTACTTTTATTTTTATACATAGACTCCTGTATTTTACCTTTGCTAACAATGACTTCTTCACCTTTAACAGCCTTTCGCCTTTGTTTGGATTCCCAGCCTATCTGTGCCGTTTCGAGATGTTAGTGAGTAGCCTTCAAAATGTTTGTCCCCAATGCAACATCTAACACAGATATCCTGAAACCGCGTGCTGCGTTCAAGCTGGTCACCTACAATGTTCGGGCGCTGATGCAAACTGGACAACAGGCAGGGTTGGTTAGAACAGTGGAAAGCCTCGCTATCGAGGTCTGCTCCATTTCGGAGACCCGCATTCAAGATCCCAGTGAAGTGCTACGATTATCCTCTCCATCTGAAAGTTCTATTAGCATGTACCACCTGCGCTTATCCGGGGATCCTGTGGCGTCGGCGTCTGGCGTAGCTGGTGTCGGTGTCGCACTGAGCGCCAAAGTCGAAGCTGCATTGCTCGACTGGATTCCCATTAACAGTCGTTTATGTGCTGTAAGGCTGGAAGGTTATGCGACAGTAAGGAGTAGTAGGCCAGATAGGCTGTGTCTATTTATTGTCTCTGCCTATGCACCGACGGATTGCAGCCCGGATGCAATTAAGGATGAGTTCTACTACCAACTAAGCGACCTCTTGAAACAGGCGGGTCGGAGGGATATCGTAGTGCTGGCTGGGGACTTGAATGCATAGGTCGGGCGTCTAAGCTCAGAGGAGAATCGTCTAGGTGGTCACTGGGGCTTACATGGTCGCAGGTCAGATAATGGCGACCGTCTTCTGCAGCTTTGCGCGGATCACAACGTATTTCTAGCCATCACCAACTTCCGGCACAGCCATCGCCGTAGCGCTACCTGGCGTCCTCCCTCTGCGAATCAAGCTTGGACTGAGATAGATCATATTGCAGTCAGTTTCCGGTAGCGAAGATGCATACAAGACTACCGCTCCTTCTGGAGCACATGCCTGGACTCCGATCATGCGTTATTGTGTGCCAAGTTTGTCTTGCGATTTGTTGGGGTTCATAAAAGGCGTCGTCTAAACGTTGATGTGAGCAAACTAGCAGCACCTGCTACTTCTTTGAAATACCAAAATGAGTTACAATCAATGCTTGGCAGCAACCCTCCAAGTAGTATAGATGAACATTGGTTTCATCTGCAGGGTGCCATTCAAAGAGCTAGTGTAGTCGCTTGCGATTTGAAAGAATGCTCCGCCAAAAACCACTGGGTTTCTGCGAGTTCCTTGCAACTCCTGGATGAACACCGGTCCATTCCGGCTAGTAACGAAATTCCATCACGTCTGATCAATACAGAAAATCACTGGTGGCACGAATAATCCAATGAATAGGTTGAAAATATGAGAAGTTAGCAGGGGAGTATGGCCGATTTATTGTAATTCAGTTGTATTTGTTGTCAGATAAAAAATTTTGATTTCCTTTGTCAATCAACGTCTTTTCAGATACATGACTTTAGATGCAGAATCAACATAAATCTTGTAGTATAGTGTGGCAGGTCTATTAAGTGGCCTCCTGATCGAGTTTTGCATAAATGGGCGTCACTTCAAACTTCCACATTTAATGAAAGTACATGAAAGAGATATCTTTGAAACTAAAGTTATCGAAATCTATAGGGGAACAGGAAAATGTGCGGTATAATGGAGATAAATGGTCAGAGAATTCAAACATTATCTAGCGTATTTATAGTCGCTATACAGCAGGCTTTTCCATATTCTATGTTAATTCTTGTTTGATTGTCATCTAGTGAAACGTAAATCCAGTAGTCATTTTGTCTCTAAATTATGCAGTGAATTTTAAACTTTGAGACAGTCAACTTTTTCCAGTACTTGTAAGCGTAAAAAATAGATAAACATATAACCACATGAATACCTTATTTTATTCTAACCATATCAGGTGATCTTGGCGGAAAACTGTTAGATCAGGTGGTAAAATTTGCATTCGCCGGTGATCAGGTGGCATTAATGTTGGCAGACATAGATCCATTTCAGGCTTTAATTCCTGGTGATTTAATTACTGATCCCGATAATCCCATTCCACCGGCCACATGTATATTAGCCAAATTGTTAGTATTCACTATACGACAGCCTATTACCAGAGGTTACCCTGTAAGTGTTGTTGATTCATTGTTATTATTATGGTAAGACATTTTTGTGTTTGAGATATTTTCTATCTGATTTCACCACCTCAAATATTGTTTTTTAGGAAATGGAAAGTGTTTACATTGTTCTTGTTACCAAAGCTTTACCACTGTCATACTGTCTCGGCTTGAAATCTGACTTAATTTAATACATCATTTATGCAGTGTGCTTGTAGACGTCAATTCACATGGGGTTAACGAGCTTTACTGTACACAATATATAGATGCAAAGCTTCCTACAAACTACTTGTATTCACGTAACTTTGAGGGGAAAGTCTTTAATCAATCAACTCATGAAAACCTTTGTACAAAAAACAAGTTTTGTATTCTGTATATTACAATACTGATCTTGGTGTGTTGGTATTGATTAGGAATATTGAGCCACTCAATAATTCATTTCATTTTATTCCTTAACGTTCCTAGTGGGACATAGGGCTTCAAGTTAGAGCTTTGAAGTTTCGGTAGCGGTGGTATTTACTTTCATGGAATTGGGTTGCTAGCCTCATGGCCGACCTTCTTTTTTACCAGCCTTATTACTATTTTTTTTATTTATTTTTGATTACAGCTTGATGCCACACCGTATTTTTAGGTACAGGTATGGAATTTTCAGCATGGATATCGGTAGCCCAGATTTTGCAGGCCGACCATAGATATCGGGTATGCGCCGGCAGGGGGTCGAACCCCGGACCATGTGCATGGTCGGCGAGAGTCCTAACCACGAGGTAAAAGAGTGTGTCGACGGGGGATCGGACACATACCACATGCGTAGTTGGCGAGCATTCTACTGCTGTTTCACTGACGCCCTAAGTTTTGGTAACCACTTCTATTTTGTACATTAGATTGGTACTCGACCTCTGTATGATAGCTGCTACCTTGGCGTGGTGGTCGGGCTTGCACACCGCAATGACCCAACAAGCTACACTGGATGGATCTATTGTTCCTGCAGGTTCTACCATGCCAGGAAGGTTGTTAGGATAGCAATTAGACTAAAAGCAGTTACCAGAATAGTATTTTTTAAAAACTATGCTGGGGTTCTGTGGGCGAAGTCGTACTGCTGGGGAACAGAGATGTAACAGCAGTGAGGTGTTTCCCTCAGATGACCAGCATGCCAGTCAGCTATGCTGTCTCTCCACTCTGGAGAGAGGGGGTTAGAAAAGGTCGACACCAAAACTTGTACATCCCGACTCACCCTACAATGCTCCGTAACCGGCGGTAAGTTTACTAATACGGAACCAATCCAAGAAACCAGTTCATATAGACCATGTGTGACCAGCCTCAAGCAGTTGTTCCCTGGGCTCTGTGGTCACGCAACACTAACCCTGTTTCTGTTTCAGATATCCGAATCCGACCTCTGTATCCTTTGTTATTTCACCATCAATCGATTGTTATGATTCAGATGGTGAACAAGCTTCTCATTTTTGCTACGACTCTTCATAGGGAAATTTATATCAATAGTACTAGTTTTTAATGTGTCTTATGACTGGATAAATGACGCGTAAAATCTATTATTAGTCCTAATTGGTTTTTTCTTGTTGGTTATTCATGTAGTAAGAGTAAGAAAAGTCTTGAATATAATTTATATCTTACCCAACCGTTAGAAGAGAGTTCGTATCCAATTCTTACAATATTGCAGTGTTATGAGCATTCAAGTGAAAAATCGTACCCTTTGTATGTAGAAATGTTGTGTACAGCCGTCTCTTCTTAATTTAATAAACCCACTTCATGATTACTGTATATCATGTTTCATCTAAAAAATTTTTTATTCTACAGTTTTAAATTCATAGTATGAGCAATGTTAGTGCTTTTCAGTCCCTAGGTACTATATAGGTTTTGTCCTATGTTTATATTACCACTGACCTCTTATTATCTTTTAGTAAGATGGTAAATGAAGTGTTACTCAACAATTATTTGAATTTCCATGCAGCTGAAAATGAGCCAAATATATTTTGTTTAGAATAGTGATACTATCTTTCTGTCTAAATGCAACTGGGTTTGAGCTAGTGATCCAGTTTCTGGAGGTCAAGGGGTCTAGACCAATGAGCAATAGCTCCAGAAGCTGTTGTAAACAACTTACTATGCTTGGAAGCATAATGTTCCTCATTGTTTTAAACTGTTTCGTAATCAACCATGACTATTAATGTCCACAAATTGAAATTTGTTAATATTTATAAATTTTGGTGCATATTCAACCGTTATCTTTTTTGCAATAGTATCATTTTGATATAGTTTTTAACTTCTGACTGTAGAATGATTTGATTGTGTGCGGTTTCCCTTTCTTAAGGAACTGCGTATGAAGTTTATTATGCTTTTAAAAATGATACTTTTACTTCTTTTAAATAAGTTTACAGACATGATAAAGGTGTTCGTTGCGTAAATAAGTGCTTATGTGGTGTCTGTTTCTATAAAATCTGACTAAATTCAAGTGTCATTACAGTCCACTGAGTTTGCATTATTCTTCAATAAAACTTTAAGATGGGGTGTCAGTTTTGTTAATTTATCAGAAAAATCTTTTTATGAAAGTATTTGATGTAGAACACTGTACTACTTGACAACACTTAATTCACGAAAGCGAATCCCATTAGCTGTTCCATCGACTTATCTGAGAAGAGTTGTTCATGTCTGTGATGCCGAGCAAAAACTTCACAGTGACAGCAATAGAAATCTTCAGCTGTTTGTAAAATAGAACTTTCCGCGACAACCAATCAACCGTGCTAACATTACCAAAGTTTTAGGAGTAGCCAATTAGCTAACACAGTGGGTGGTAGTATCAATATATTCTAGTACACAAAAACATAAACGCCTTTAGCAAGATAGATTGATTACCCAGTATAATCTCATCTCTTCATCATTCTCTCTGTATTTGCGCATGTGTGTGGTCATTAGAAGTCCTTATGTGGTTTGTAATAATGATATCATCCTTATTACTACTTTTAGGTAATATACTATTACAATTGTACTAGTGTAGCAGCCAATATTACTAAACTGAAGTCTATGACTCACAAAGAAAATAAAATGGAGAAGACTGTTAAAAAGCCAAGGTTAGTTATTTGTATACTGTTTTTTATGTTATGTAACTGTCAGTCTTTTTACTATCAGTATAAAATTCATTTCTTTTGTGTTAAACAGTAGTGAGTTTTTCTTCAAGTCAAGGCGTAAACAAGAGGCCTAAATTGAAGAGACATGTACTTCCTAGGTAATTCAACCATTTTGTGGATGATCACTCTAGGACCAATAAGTGTTTAGCACTACTTTTAAAACAGAAGACTTATTAAAATCGTAGGTGATTGTTACTGATTTTAGTAGGACTACCCCCTTACATGATACAACTTCATGCGATTATCCAGGAATGTGAAGAAGCCGCCTGGATACTATGCCTAATACAATTCTAATTCTTTAGAATGAGTGTTTCATGCCGAAATCATTTATTAAATAACAGTCATTTCAGGTGTCGGAAACCTTACGATCACGCTGTTTTTCAAATTTGGACAGTTATCGAAAATGTATTTTCGAGAAAGTTAGATTTCACAACCCTAGATCACAACTGCTCTTAGGGTATAGTTATGCATTCGACGTTTTGCATAAATGTTATTGATAATACAGTCGAAGGTGATGTCTAATATCCATCAGGTGGCAATAAAAAGTCAGTTTGGTCTCTGGTTACACTATGTACATTTGATATTTGTGCTTGTTTTTTATCAATCCATTGTAGCTGACAAAATGAACCTATATTCTCATCATAAACAAAGGAATATTTCCTTTTCGAAAACTTTCTGGAGTTGTGCAGGTTTTCGCCTGAAGGTTCCTTTCTTCTCTTGTTCTTTTCGGTTAGATTAACATGGTACAATATTAAAATTAGACATTGAGTGTTAGCTAAGGAGACGGTAATCGAATGACGTAACTAGGATATTTCGCACACCAAGCCACTTCCTTCGATGAGCAGTAATAGGATTAGGTTGCATAAGAGTTAGGGCTTGTCGTACCAAGCCATGAAGTGATAAACTACTGGTCTGAACTACACTAAAAATGTTCACGTATTACATCACTGAAATGTGTGCACATATCAGGATGTCTTGAGAACTGTATTAGTATTCCAAATACTGATTTGTTACGTACCTAAGTTATTCACGGTTATTGCTGGAGTGTTGAAATCAGTATTTTTGAACAGATAGGCTTCTTCACCATAATTTATCGAGTTAGTGTTCGTAGACATAATAAACAAAGTGTTTTGTTTTTGTCTGGATTTTGTAGCCTATACTTTTGGTAATATAATTTAATTTGTTAGTTTCGAATTGAAATTTTACGTACCTGACTAAACTGGTTGTATTTCAAAGTTACAACTTTTTAGTAAGACTGGCGAAAAACTGCTCTTGTTCTAGTATTTGTCAGTGATTTTTACAGTTTTTCATCCGCTAATGTGTGAAGGCTGTTGTGAATATAATACTGTCTGACCTTTTTTAGATGTCTTTTGGGGAACTGTACAGCTGATGTGGTGTTAACATTCGAAAGACCAATTTGTATAGAAACATATGAAAAGTGTAAAGCTCTTGGGAGGTTTATGCTTCGTGTGGGTGGGGAATCAATAGCTGGCGGTACTGTTACAACGGTGTGTGAATTTTTTCCTTATTCATTAAATCTAAAAAAAATTATTTTCATTGACATTATTTTCTCATCAGTGTAAGAATGTACGAACTTTTTATTACTTTGTGCTAGTCCAGTTCCTTGTATTGTAACGTACTTTCGGATTTCAATGCAACCATTGATCATTTATGCACTTATTAAATGTCCAAATGGTCTGTGGGGCATCGAGCGTTCTGTGCACAGGTTCGGTCGGTTTCCGACATAGAACTTTGCACATATGTGCGCCAGTTCAAGTCACCACACTACATATAGCACACAAAGCAAGAGAAGAAAGTAGAAGAAATGCATATTAGAGACAGTAAACAGAGGTGTGAGACAAAGGAATAGTAATAACGAAGAGCAAAAATGTTTCATTGGAAATCATAAGTCACAAGGAGTGGATGTATCTGCGCCACTGAGAACGATTTTGAGCCATGTCACCAATTGTTTCCAACCATTGGATTTTACCGTCCCGAGGACCCCAACCAGACTAACTGTTGTGGATTTCATTGACTGATAAGGTCATGTTTTCGTTTGACCGCCGCTAGCTCTCTTTCAGCCTGGCCCTATATCAGCTAACATTGCCTGTTGTCGAGGAAGGCGATGACTAGGCATACGTAGCACATGTCCTAACCATCTCAGCCGATGTAGCTTCACAGTCTCATCGATTGATTTCCCCTCCGTACCTAGCACTCGACGCCTAACCTCAATATTGCTCACCTTATTATACCACTTCACACGGGAGATAGAACGCAGAAACCTATGATCAAAGACAGTTAATCTTTTCATGTCTTCCGCTCTCAATGCCCAGGTCTCACAGCCATAAAGGAGGACGGAGCGAACTGCTGAGGAGTACACCCGCCCTTTGTCGATAGCCAGACGGATATCACGTCTACGCCAGAGACTGTGTAAACTAGTATATGCGAACCTAGCCTTCTGTATCTGTGCTCAGATTTCGTCAGCGATCAACTCGATGGCACTGGCCGATGCAACTTCCCAAATAAGTGATACGTACAACGTGCTCTGCCACTTCACTCCCTATTTCTAAACTAGGGGTCGGTGAAGTCCAATCCTGCAGCATCATCTTACATTTTACAGGGGCAAATCGCATGCCAAACATACGAAGATTGTTGCTCAAGGTGTTCAGTAGACTCTGCACTTTGTCAGCGTCTTCGCCTAGAAGGACTATATCATCCGCAAATTCTAAGTCGACGAGGTTATTCCCTGGTAGCAAGTCAATCCCTGAGTCGTTGAAGTGTGTTAGGGTTAAGTCCATTAGTACGTCTATGATGAAGTTGAATAGGAATGGGGATAATCGGCATCCTTGACGGACGCCACTAGTCGTCACCACTTCAGATGACAACTCGCCATAAGCCCTCACCTGGCTGCATGAGTACGAGTAGAGTGCCTTAATCAGTGCAATGTATTTCCTCGGCATTCCCTTTACAGCCAAGCATCGCCAGAGAACCTCTCGGTCGACAGAATCGAATGCCGCCTGTAAGTCAAGAAATATATTGATTGTCGGACGCCGGTAAGAATGCCTATGTTCTAGAATCTGTCGAAGGGTGAAGATATCATCAATACACCCTCTTCCTGGCCTGAAACCTGCCTGGTTTTCTCGTGTTTGTGCCTCCCGAGCACCACATAGTCTACGCAGTATTATTGAGCCTAGGATTTTAGATACTATATTAGTTAAGCTAATCCCTCTGTGATTATCACAAGAAGACTTGTCTCCCTTCTTGTATATCGGGATGATCAGTGACTTACACGAACCCGATGGGACTTCCTCTGATTCCCAGACGCTGCCTAGAACCTCAGTTAATGCAGACAGTAAACTCTCTCCACCGTCCTTAAATGACTCTGGAGTCATTCCATCAGACCCTACTGCTTTGCCTTGCTTCATATTAGTGACAGCTTTAGTAACCTCAGTTAAGGACGGAGGACTTTTGTCTGTATCCCATTCAGGGAGGTGTTGGATGTTCGGCAGGTTAAGTGTGGCTGTAGGCCAATTAAACTGCTCCTCATAGTGTTCTTTCCAGCGTTGCAGTCGTCTATCCTGGGAGCTAGTTATGGTGCCATTTTTCTCCGAGATCGTTTCGCTTATCATTTGCCTTTTGCCACCTGTTTCCCTGATAAGCCTGTATAATTGCCTGGTGTTGCCAATCACCGACGCCTTTTCCACCTCTTTCGCTTTTGTCGTCCACCACTGTTCACGGTCGTTGCGAAGACTTTTTGTTAGTCTTCGTTTAAGTACCTTTCGCTCCTCATCATAATCGGAGCTCGCTGCAATCAGTCTTCTTGCGTCAATCAATTCGGATGAGGCGGTAGAGATCCAATGGCTTTTATTAACTTAAGGTTTCAGCTTATTGACAGCTTTCACGGCTGTGTCCACAGCTAACTGTATGTTGTGCCAGGCTACCTCAGGGGAAGTCCTGCTGTCGACCTCAGAAACTAGTTTCGCTATTTCTTCCTTAAATAAGGACTCAGTGTCACGATCTAGTTGGGGACGTAACTGTTTCGTTGCCGTCAATTTCTTATGTCCATTTAGTCGTAAACATAAACGTGCGCGAACCAGAGCGTGATCAGAGTTTACGCACGTGTTCCAGAAGGAGCGACAGTCTTCTACTGACCCTCGCCAACGATACCCTATGGCTATGTGGTCTATCTGAGTTCAACGTTGATTTGGTGATGGAGGTCGCCAGGTTACACACTGTCTTCCTTTGTGCCTAAAGTTAGTGCTGACTAGGAACAGATGATTATCTGAGCGAAACTGGAGAAGACGATCACCGTTGTCGGTTCGTCGGCAGGGAACTCCATACGTACCACCTACATACTTCTCAGTCTGGCACAACTTCCCTACTTGGGCATTGAAGTCGCCTGCTAAAACAACTATATCTGAACTTTTTGCATCAAATTAGGGAGTTTCCGGTAGAAGTCATCTTTTAATTCATCCGAACTGCAATCTGTTGGGGCGTAAGCGGAGACTACGAAAAGGCAACGATGGGTAGCGCCGTCTTTCCTTCTTTTAACGGACTCGTTCAGACGGACCGCGCACATACGACTATCTACTGGGATCCAGTCAAGGAGTGACTTTTCCGCCCTAACACTCAGCGCTATCCCTACACCTGCGAGTCCTCATGAGCTAGCTGAGGGGTCTCCTGACACCCTTAAAGTGAATTTTGCAGATTCACCTTGTTGACCGGGTGAGGTCAAGTGAATGACCACACTCGCGTCTTGTATGCGTGTCTCCAAAACACAACATACATTCATAGCTCTAGATCCCAGGGTTCTTGCTAGTGATGCCTGTTGTCCGATTTGGCAGAGGGTCCTGACGTTGAAAGCTCCTATATGAAGTTGGCGACGTGGCTTTAAAAGGCTATCTGGGTTGTTTCTATGGCTCTCATCGTTGTTTGTGGACGCAGAGTGAAGTGAATATGACTCACAAGCCTTCAGATCAGTACTAACAGTAGAAGGGAAGTAAGATGATGAGGGTGATGTGGATAAGGGGGGATGATGATCAGGAAGGTTTCGTGTGCTTTTGGAGGTGTGTGGGCGGTTGTTACTTCCCGGCTGCCCACACCGTGGAAGTTGGTTGAGTCTTCGGGTACCTGAAATAGAGAAAAGGTTAGTGTTGCGTGACCGCAGAGCCCAGGGGACAACTGCTTGAGGCCAGTCACACGCGGCCTGCTTTTGTTTGTTCTTATTCATTTGGTGTGTCTCAGTAGCGTATTTATCACTTCTGCCCTGTGACACGGCAGCAGAAAGCGCGGTCGTTGTTAGTCCGGGCCCCGACCGATCCGGCATGATATTTTGTGGATTTGTTTGAATCATAGTGTTTTTGTCTAACCGCTATCCAAACAACCTTTTTGGCATGATAGGACCTACAGGAACATGCGTTCCAGCCAGTGTAGCTCGTTGGGTCATTGCGATATGCAAGCCCGACCACCACGTCAAGGTAGCAGCTATCGGCCGGGGTGCACAGGTTACTGTATCCTACTGTATTTTGTTGAAGAAAAAGCTAAATATGATTCGGTCAAGACGTGTTACGTAACCACACAGCTAGTCGATAAAAAGACAATGTAGTATTCCAAATCTTTACCTTAAGCTAACATTGAGAACAGTTCAAATTTAGTAGTAGTGTGCGAAATTTATATTTGTCAGCTTTAAATTGTGCGGTGGTCAGCACTGACAACAATATCGCAGTACATTCATGCTTTATCTATTTCCGTCCTGTAATATTTCTTTATATTTTCCGTAAACACAATGCCTCAGTTTTATTGCTTCTAGTATTGAAGCGTGGTGTCTCGTCACGTGGTTGTGTAGCTGTGTTAACTTCGATGCCTAGTTTGAGACCACTGAAATCAAGTTTCGAAGTACTTTTAGTCAAGATTGATATGATTCCGAAGAAAAACTCATTTTTGAAACGTTCTCCAGTAAATAATACAATTTTCCACTGTGTGATATGTCCACTGAACAAAATAATATCAAACCAATGAAACTCATTCCTAACGAACTTTACCAGAAAACGTTTTTATCTGCTGTGCTATGTTTTAACTACTTTTAATTTATTTTGTCTACTAATTTTTCTTCTCTGCATACAGATACTTCCGATGACAAAAAATCGACTTATTGACGTGTAACAACGCTCGAATTCTCACACCGAAAGAAATACGCGTGAAACATTTTCTATCTCTTAATGCCGAAATGTCTTTCATTATCTTTGTCCTGCTCTCTTACGTTTTCCACTTTTTAAAGAAATGATCTAATAATGCTAACTTTCTTTTTAGTCCTAACACTTCATTTCAAACCTGACGACTGAATATCTTTTATTCAGGAGTGCATTCAAATTGTGCTTTATTATTGTCAAATGGTCTAGATTTTCTAAAGGTTTGGGTTCAAACTTTTAGTCCAGTGTATTTGTGTATTATTTAAAATTGATGAAATACAACCTCACAGCAGTATGAATTCATTTCAGTTTCATTCAAGCGAATGGGGATACTATTTCCGAAGATAGTTGACATACGAAAGAGATGCAAAAGAATTCACTATGTGTGTTTGTTTCGGTATTCACAGAGACGTGCTTGTAACTTATGGCAACATCTCTAAGATGAATTAATTAGTAAGTCACGATTTACAAGGGAAACTGATTGACAATGAAACCTACAGTAAGCTCAGACCGAAAGAATCCCGCATACTTTTCAAGTATGGACAGCCAAAAATACACAAGGACATGCAAATTAGGCCTATCGTATATATGGTCACTTCTCTTTATCACATACTTCCTCACTGGTTAGCGTAGAGGATAGGAACAGTTACCCACTTCCACCCTAAGAGACTCATTTGATTTTGTGAAAAGAGTAGGACAGCTTAATATATCTACTTTACTAATGTTCCTCCATAGGAGACAATAAATAAATAACTAACCAGCATAATGCCCATGCGTTGCGTCACCTGACATTGAAGTATGTTTGTATATGGTGTCATGTAGTTACAACCGTTCCGAAACACTTCAACTTGCTTCTTTTGGAAAGAAAGGAGGGTTTTAGTGTTGAACAGTACTATGAGAAATGGCATTCAGTCAATTGTTTCTATTATTATTTAAAAATCCCCGTGGAACGAGTATTTTAGAATAATAAACGCCGAAAATTCTGTAGTGCATAGAGTGGAGTTATTATTATAATCAAGCTGTTATACTTGTCACAATATCAATAGAAAATAAATCAATGTAGAAAATGTTAGAATTAATAGGAGTATGGTGGACGAGAGAGCATAATCAGTGTTTGCTTGTGCTAAAAGCGGTGTTGACTGAATAAATCTGCATTAAACTGTGATCGATTTTCAGCTATAAAGCTTAAGTTTGGTGGCCATCGATTGGCAATAAATGAAATTTCGTAAGCCGGTTGTAACAGTAAACAGCCTAGCGGTATTATGTTTATGCGAGCTATGAAATGGACTTAATCGCAAGGAATCTTAATTTTTTTATTAGACGATGTTTCAATAAGGTGTATGGCTTTCTCAACTTCAGAATGAGTAAGTAGGTAAGCGAAACCACCCATTTAGTAATGTGTTCATTGGCTTAAGGACTACAAATACAACCTTCGGGCATTTCTATAGAATCCTTCTCGTGATGCTTCAGCCCTAAAAACTAGGTGGTTTATTCAGGTGTATGTCTCCCTCTCTCTCCTACTCCTACATCCCTTTCGTCCCATAACACAGTAACTACATGTAGGATGACTTCCAGATAGTTGAATTCTAACTTCACTGGACATTGCATGAAAATGTGCACTAAACATTCCAGCTGTTGTAGCGAAATTAAACAAAATAGTCCGAAGAGTTACTTCACATTCTTCGAACGTTGTTTCACTTACGTCCTTTGACTGAGGCTTAGGCATGCAAAGAACTTGATGAAAACACCCGAGGTAAGATATCTGAAGGAGTAGTGATGGAGTGGAGCAATTTGTGTATCTGAAGAAGCAGACTCAGTTATTCGCTATGAAGAAGCGCCAACTCGGTGATGAGAATTTTGTTACCGAGATAGTCATTCTTAGAGTCTGCCCTATCGTATTTAATAAAACACAGAGGAGAGACTATTTCATCTACTGCAGCTGCAATTATGTATGACTTTCTCATGAATTAATGCAACAGTTCTACATTCAAAGGGCGCAGCAACTAGCAGAATAAGTATAAGGTTATGAGGATTACTGAGTATTGATAGAGTATAATGGAGGTGTGGTAAAGCTGAATGAATATAAGCATGTGATCGCGTAATGAGACAGGCTGCTGGAAGGACGAATTCGTGTCAAAATAAGCATAGGCAAAATGAGATAATTAGTCAGGATTCCAAAATAATCAATACACAAAGAAAAGCATGGTTATCTGTGTTCGCTAAAGCCATTGCCATCGAAAGACTTTGGCCCAACCAATGCATACAGAAAGAGAGTGTGACTAATCCCTCACTACCCTTGTAACCGTAGCTGTTTTGTTCGTGTGCTTCTGAGTTTTGTACTGTTGCATCAGATTCCACTCAATCTTGATTTTGATTTTCACTCGATAAGTTGAACTCACTGTTAAGGTTCCAAATCTACTAAATTAAATTATTCTATCCACTTTTATAATTTTACTTCACTATTCACGCCCATTCTCCTGAATCCTCTACCATAATATGTATAAATTAACTCTGTTGTTCTATCTTGTAATTCGCCTCTAGTCTATCCTTGTTTCCAAGCTGAATCTGAACTCTAACCCCTTGTCCAATTACTATATGAATAGTTACTCTTTTAACACTGAATAATTGTCTACTTACATCATCTATGAGATTGAGTTGCCTACACTTTCCATCTATAACTTGAAGTCATCGTATAAAGTATGTTCGGAAATTTTGTAACTGGTGATTGATCTACTTAGGATGTACGCAGTTGAGAGAATCTATGAAATAAAACGAGCTCGTACTATCCTGCAAATATGTTCGTCCTTTCCTTATTCAAACTAACAAAGGGAACCGACTGTATGGAATTTGTGAAACAACGTCTCCCTAGAAAAATAATCAAGTCACTGAATCGATTAGTGACTTTATGTAGCAGAATAGCGAGAGAAATGTCTAGGATTAAAGTCTATGGGGATTGTCTCGAGACAGGTTATTCTCCACTTCACTTCCTGAAACTTGTCAGACTGACTGATTTACCTCCAACTCAAAAGAATCTTCGTCGCATCATGAAATCGCATATTGATCCATCTCAGAAATACAACAACACCTTGAGGTCAGATCTACTCAAATTCGACAGTCTATCAGAAAGTCTCAATTTGGTGTTTCGGATAAAGCTTAATAAACTTCATGCAAGACTTACAACCACAGATTGCGAATTCATGTAGAAAGAAGCTCTGGAAATCCTTGGTAGTGGAACAACTACATGAAGAGATTGCACGGTCCCCGTAAAAAACACTTGCAATTTATCGGAGGTGAAGCTTATCCAAGTCGAGACCGAGGCTCTGTCTCTAGGATTCAAGTATCACGTACCAAACTCGTTTATCGGCAGAATTGATACAGAAACGCAGTTTGAGTACTTATACGACCAATTATCAGATTTGAAACCTATAGATGAGGATAAAAATCGTTGGTATCACAGGGCAGTATCACATTTCTCTTCTTGCACAGTCAAAAGTGTTCACCGAGGAGCACAGGTTAGCGTTAGAAAACCTGCAGGACCATGATAAGGTCGTCATTCTTAAACCAGACAAGAGTTCTGGCGTCGTAAAAATGAAGCGGAAAGACTACATCTTCGAAATGACAACGTTGATAGAATGAAATTTCAAGTGTAGGGGCCAAAGAGCGACGCAACAACAGCCTTAGAAACCAAAAAATAAAGGACCCCCAAGGAACTCCTTAAAGATGGACTGATCGATAATAGAAGCTATAATGACCTCAAAACAAGGGTTTCACGCCTATTATTCATGTTTGGTCAGCCCAAAGTCCACAAACCTGATGTACCATTGTGATTTATAATGTCAATGACGAAATCACCATGCCATAAACTGGCTAGTTGGTTGGCACAAAAGTTACAACTTCTTTCAACAAAAGTTAGCACTTCACAGTATCAAAGGTTCTTTCCAATTCTCTGAAAAATTAGACCAACCGAACATTCCAGACAAATTCCTCGTATCATACGATTTTCGTTCGCTGTTTACTAGCATACCCATTGAAGAGAAAGTGAGAATCATATGCCAGCAATCGAAACTACTTCCTTCTCCTGAAAAGAAGCGACGAAAATTGCTACTTCTTTGCACAAAGAACGCCAAGTTCCGATTCAACGACCAGCTGTACCGGCAAATTGATGGGGTGGCTATGGGTTCACCTCTGGGTCCTGCTCTTGTGGATGTATTCATGGCTCATCTTGAACCGGAAATAGAGAGGACCACCTATTACCGCAGGTATGTTGACGACACGTTTGTGGTTTGCAGTAATATCGGACAGACATCCACGATGTTCGGAAACCTAAATAAAGCTCACGCTCACATAGCATTTACAATGGACCATGAACGCAACAACCATTTCCACTTCCTAGGCATCAAGAAATGATGGAACAATTGAAAAATCCATCTACAGGAAAGAAACTTGGCCTGGACAATACTTGAATTATCACCGTTTCTGCCTCATCCGCTGAAAACGGAGACTGGTGAAAACGCTCTCTAGCAGAGATAGGGCGTCGTGTTCAGAAGATAAGATTGAGGAGAAACTCGCAGTCATCGAAAAGAACCTTATCGAAAATGGATTCCCTCAGAAGTTCACATTAAATATGGAAAGGAAAAACCAACTACACCAAAACACGATATAGTTGAAAAGAAGACAGTTTTTATTTATTTATCGTACAAAGTCAAAGAAGTATCCATAAGAATGGAAAACAGAATTAAAGGCGCATTGTAAACAACATTATCTCGCCTAGTTAACTGGCTTGCTAGTTTTCTAGCAAGTCGTCATAAGGCCGGGTAAAGAGGGAGGATTCGGCGTGGGGCTAGCGACTCTACACCACAAAAACAATCAAAATGCTACAGAAACTTCAATGCACAAAAATATATTAAAAATACAAAAATTCAAAGAACGATCTTATTCTTCTCTCGAATCGGACAGGCGAAATGAGATAGCGGGCTGATGAAAGTCTTCGTGAAACCATTCAGCCGATGTGTCTTCTCTCTATGAAAGCAAGAATAAGAATGGGTACGTGGAATGTCTGTACGAGGTACGAGGATGTCTGGGAAGGCTGTCTGGGTAGCCAAAGGAATGAGAAGACATGGCATAAAAGTTCTGGGAATCTGCGAAAACAGATGGAATGGATGGAGAGTCAGTAGTTTACTCCGGTCTGATCACCCAGACGACAACCACGAACACACTGAGGCAGTGAGTGGCTATCATGATGTCACCGGTGGCAGCCAAAGGCCTAATGCAGTGGGAACCACTTTCATCCAGGA